TGCCAGCTCTCATGATTTTATTGGGAGTCTGGTGATTTCCTGAAAGCCACAATTTCCTGGAAGCCACAATTCCAGGAGTCAAGTGATTCTATTAGGGTACGTCTAGACTACAGGCTTTTGTCGACAGAGGCTTTGTTGACAGATACTGTCGACAAAGCTTCTGTCAACAAAGAGCGTCTAGACGACATCCAGTTCTGTCGACAAAGCAAGCCACTTTGTCGACATGAGAATGTAGACGCAAAGGACAGTGTAGATGCAATAATGCCTTCTGTCAACAGAACTCTGTTGACAAAAGGCATTATTCCTCGTAAAATGAAGTTTACCGCTGTGGACAAAACTGCCGAGTTCTGTCGATGTTATGTTGACAGAACTCGGCGGTAGTGTAGACGCAGGTGTAGGTTTGTTGACAAAAGTCCACTTTTGTTGACAAAACCCTGTAGTCTAGACATAGTCTTAGAATCTCAGTTCTCAATGTTTTGAGAGAATAAATCTCTAGCCCTTGTGTTTGTGGAGGAAAGCTGAGGAATGTGACCCCTAAAGTTCAAAAACTAGAAGGCAAATGAAAAGAACCTGTCATTTTTCAACTCTTGTGATTCTGCGGCCTTACTTGTGGTTTCTGAACACTTGGGACTGGAGATACTGCACTGCCGTCAATGTGCTTATGGCACCAAAACTCTCTTTTTCATCAGACTCTGACAGCTCATTTCCTCTTCTGTGCTGGTTGCCTGAAGAGGGGTGTGGATGGTGGTGAATTGTTTGAAGCTCATTGAGTTTATCACCTCTGGTTTGTCTGCCACATGAGTCAGAGGTGATGTTGATACACAGGTGGAAGAAGACCTGGAGAGCAGTTGATCTGTTTGAGCCCACCCTTTGATAAAGCAGTCTTCAGTCTTCAGCCTAGGAGTTCTTTAGGGCCTCTATTTGCACCTGGATTGTCAGGGAGCAAACGGTGCCCAGGACAATGCTTTTCACCCACACTTAGCCAGAAGTTTTTTACTTTTTCTTTCAGATCCAGACTGCCCCCTGGATATCCAGCCCCTTAGAATCTCTAGTCTGACAGCTGCCCTAGAAAGTGCTCTTCTTGAGACTACCCTTTCATAACTCCCAGCAACTTCAGCAAGTGCTGAACATAAAAGCTCGTGGACACTATACTATGGTGGAGAGGGGGAACTAGCTTTTTGTTTGCTCTCAAGTGAGATTCCAAGCATTGGCCATCCTGTTACAAACATTTTATGGCTTGGGTCTTGGCTGCCTTGGAGATGGTTGCTCCATATGGACACTCGTGATAAGTGAAATTCACCACAAGACTTGAGCAATGTGGGACTGGAGCAGGATGTTTTTGGTGGAGGTCCCTAGATGCTAGAGCCCTGTCACCAGAATTCACTTTTGCTCTGCATGGGGAGGAAAAAAACATCCCTTTATGATGGTATATTCTTAATGTGTGTTTGCTGACTGGTGGTAGTCTTGACTGGTGGTGGTCTTGGAGCTCACAGGCTCTTTGATTAGTTTATAATCCTTCTATCCCTGTAGCATCTGATACCTTTACTTATGCTCAGTGGCATTTTACACTGCCAATGGTCCCATAGGCTTCTTAATACCCACTCTACCTGAGGAAAGGGAGCTGAATCAAGCCCTTAGCTCGTACAGGCAGCCTGCAAATGAAAAACAAATGGATTCTTGACGTGAACAGGAACACTGGTGGGGTAAGGTGCCAATTGGTATGAAGAACGAAATCAGGATCTGTTTTAGTTCTCTTCATTTCCTGAGATCTCATCTCAGAGTTGTCTTTGGTTGTTGCCAGCCACCTGTAGCGTGCTGTGAATTTTGGACACTTGTGGGTGTTTTTTAGAGACTTTCATGTTCCCAGAAGCGTGGGCAGTGGGTGCCTGGTTTTGTTTTTGCTTTTTTTTTAATTAGGCTATTAAAAATCGGTGCAGATGGCACCACCCGTGGAGAATGAGTATGTTACTTTTGCAGTGCGGTGACGTTCCAGCCTCCTGGGGTGAGCAGGAGGGCTCGAGGTAGCTGCTAAACTAGAGTCCAAGCCCCCAGGCACATGGGGATGTTTTCATTTTAAGCCAGGACATCATTAAAACATGAGCAGCCATAATTGCATCATAACACTAGAATGCCTGTAGGCAGGAATAAATGCTGGGTGTGCTAGACCAGTGGTTTTCAGACGACGGGTCGCAACTCAGGACTGGGTGGTGGAGTGCCAGGCACTGGGTCTCATTGCTGCAGGGGATCAGGTGACCAGCAGGGGTGCTAAGGCAGCTACCTGCCTGTCCTGGCACTGCAGACTGTGTTGCACCCCCGAAGTGGCCCGCTATAGGCCCAGCTTCTAGGTGTGGAGCAGAGAGCACACAGGGCTCTGCACACTGCCCCTGCCCTGAGCACTAGCTCCACACTCCCTTTGGCTGGGAACCTGCTGCTGGCAGCTTCTGGGGGCAGCATGGTCTGCGGTGCCAGGAGAGGCAGGAAGCTGCACCCCTGCTGCACTGCTGACTGGGAGCCACTCAAGGTAAGTTCTTCTTGCTCCAACCCTGACTCCCTCAAAGCTGGAGCCCCCTTCTTCACCCCCAAAACTTTAATCCTCAGCCCCACCTTGGAGCCCACACTCTAGTTTCCTTCAACTGGCTCATGAGAAAAAAAAGTTTGAAAACCGCTGCAGTAAAGCAATAATGGCCCTATATAACTTCTTTCATGGGAAGATCCCAATGCATGGTATACAAACCAGTTCATCTAGCCTTGCAATATTCCTGTGATGTATTATTCCCCCCATTCTGGAAAGTGAAGGGACTTGCTTAGAGGTCACACATGGAGGAGGGGAGCAGACTTGAAAATATCCAAGTCCAAGATTTCCAAACTGAACTGCTTAATCGGAGGCTGCTCAAGTCATATTTAGGCATCTTCATAAAAATGACTTGATCCAGTGTTGAACACCCCCCCTAGGTTATACTGTCTTCCCTAGGAGCTCAGCATCTCCAGGCCTCTTTTATGTAGGTACCGAAATGTGGATGCTATGGACCTGCAGTTAAATACTTTGCCTGAAGCCTTCAGTCTCCCAGGCCTGTGCTTTAAACAAGCCATCCTTTCTCCTCTGACTGGAATAAACTTTAGTGTTATTGGCAAAGGGAAATTATTCAAGCTTCCCAGCATTTGCTCAGGGTTACAAAAATGGGGGGGGGGGAGGTGAACTACTATGATAAAGAATCAAGGACATTTTTCACTCAAACTCACTGTGCCTCCTTAGTAAAAAGGGGGGTGATAAATTACACACAGTGGGGCTGCTCAGAACATTGTCTTCCAAATGGTTTCTTTTCGAGAAAAGGAGGCAGTGTACAATGGGAGTCGTGTGCTTGGGGTGCACAGCGGGAGATGCCGTCCTAGGAGGGGGCCCAGGCTACAGAGAAGAATGGGAGCCTGAGGCACCTCAGCTACAGTCCCTGTGAGGCCTTGGGGCAACACTTCAGAATCAAAATATTTGGCTTTTTGACTTTCCATAGAAAATGTGATTTCTTTCCACAGAAAAATACGTTTTCCAGTCAGCTCTAGTCATGATGTTGACTGGTTTGATGCCAAACGTAGACCATTTCCCCAACACTTGCATGGTTTTACTGTTCTGTTCGATATTTGAGATCTGCCCACCTGTGGTGAGCTTTTCAATAGGAGTTTTCAGTAGAGTATTCCCTCCTTGCCCTTCATGATGTAACAAGCCATCTTAGTCATGTGGTATTGTTTCTATTCCCTCGCTCGATGACCAGAATATTTAAAAACAGTGACAGGGCATTCAGTCCTTTTCACAGCTGCACATTCTTACATATGCCTGGACCTTTGGCTTTACTGTACTTACGTAGAAAACAAACAAAATGACAGCACCTAGTGGCAACCACCTAAGAAGATTCATAGCTTTCACTTGACTATAAGCTAACAAATGTTTCTTCTGTATTCCCATGTGCACAATCCTGGCCATTGCAAAATCATGAATCAGGCCCTAAAAAATCAGGAGAGTGGCTTAAAATAGTGAGATTAACCTCCCCACACACCTGACATTTGCGATTCCTTTTATTTACCATTGGGTGTTGTAGCCTTTACGATTTGTATTTTAGAACTTTTCTCCACTTTTCTCCACTTTGGAACTTTAGAACTTTTCTCCAATGTACATTCTTACATAAGGCCTGAGGGCTTGAAATTTATGTAAGAATGTAAATTGAGATCCTTTGTAATCACATGATTCCAGAAGCACGGACTTGAAGAAAAACAGTTAATATCATATTGGATAGCAATACTTGAGTAAATAATAAGCTTTTGTTCAATGTGCCAGGCACTTTCAAAACACAAAT